TGATTGATGAAATATTCTGTCAAATACATTATTGGCGATTACATCTAACAACATTATATCAATCATGTACTATTATAATTGGTTTCTTTCTTTATGTATTGACTAGTGTTAAAAATGAATGGATTTTTCGTCTATGTTTTATTGAATTAATCATTTTGAGTATAACAATGTTATTTTTATATACAAAAATAGCAGCAAAATATGTTTTACAATCAAAACAAATTCGTATACATGATACACAGGCAATTATTCCAAAATATCCTATTAATTTAAGAAATCATTTGAAAATACAAAATCATGTTACATTGATCGATACAGATTCATTAATATTTACACAATGTGATGGCATAAAATTGGGACCAATCATACAGATAACGGTAAGTGAGATCGATTTTGATTACGAACAAAAAAAAAACAAAACAAAAACAACCGAATAATTTTCTTTCTATTCTTTATTCACAGATCATTGCTCAAATTATGGCCATGTATCTGTTGATAATGCAGCTATTTATTGGAAAATTTCAATCGTGATTTTTTTCTCCTAAAAATAATTTCGAATTCACCGGAACAAAAAAAAACCGCCGTGGCAGAAATTCAATGTGACGTTCTATCTCCAAGCGTCATCAATAATACATGTAATTCGAATCCTTTCTTAAATTATCTCTAATCATCAATCAATAAAAACATTTTGAATAATGTGTGGAAGAACATTTTTTTCCAAAGAAATATTCTAATGAATAAAATCATCTTTCAGAATTAATTATCAAAAAAATAAAACTTTTGAAAATGATTCAAAAAACAACATTCAATGAAAAAATTTAATGAAAAGTTTGTTTGTTTGGCTTGTTTCTAGGTTGTTAATTAACCACCACCAACATTGGTTCATTGGTATTAAATTTTTTTAAATTACATTTTTGTTGGTTATGTCATTTGGCAGTTAACGATTGTGAACACTACACAAACACATACACACAAAGAGAAACAAACAAGATGATATCATTGCAAGAAATTCAACATCGAATTATAAGTCTAGTTCTTCGTTGTTTAATTATTCCGATACCAGATGAAAATATTCACATTGATTATTTGACTGAAAAATGTTTTCGATCACTATTCAAACATTATCATCATCGACGATTAAGAAGACATTCATTGGACAAACGATGGCCAACAATCAATGATAAACGAATTCAATTTATATTTGTGTTTCTTTTATTTTTCATTATTCGTTCATTCATTCTAGCCAATTTCATTGACAATGATGATAGTTTATATCTAACCATTTTTGGTTCAGAATTTCGTTTATTAAAAGGCAATACATTTAGTATGGAAATGACCACTTGTTTTTTATCGATAACAGCATTAACACAATGGATTGTTATGTTTATTTCAAGTGAAGCAAATTTTTTCTTCAAATTAAACATTATCTATTCAAAACAAATCTACGATTCACTTGATTCACGATTTAATAAACGAAAACGTCAAAAAATGATTAAACGAAATGATTACCAGCCAGATATATCGTTAAGATTATTTATACAATTTTTTTGTTTAATTCGTATATTCTGTACATTTAGTATACCTTTAGCAACCGGGTTTACAATGATGGCCATTTTCATCATAAGTGATCCGAAAATGAATAATCTACATCTATTTTATAATTCATATCTGCTTTACTATGGATATTCATTATTCATAACATTCATGTGGACCACATGGGCATTCATTATTGTTGATTTATTAGTATCAATATTAACATTATTTCCAATCATACTGTTAATATTACGATATAAATCGGCAAGATTAATTAAATATGTTGATTATAGAATTATGGTCATTTATATTACAACAACTAAACGAATGAATAAACAACAAATCAACATTTGTATACGACAATATATACGATCAATAAATCAATTGATTGATGAAATATTTTGTCAAATTCATTATTGGCGATTACATCTAACAGCATTAAATCAATTATGTTCCATTATAATTGGTTTCTTTCTTTACGTATTAACTTGTATAGAAATGGAATGGATTTTTCGCATATGTTTTATTGAACTAATCATTCTGAGTATAACAATGTTATTTTCATATACAAAAATAGTAACAAAACTTGCTGTACAATTAAAACAAATTCGTATTCATGATACACAGAAAATTATTCCTAAATATCATATTGATTTAAGAAATCATTTGAAAATACAAAATCATGTCCACATTGATCGATACAGATTCATTAATATTTACACGAAGTGATGGCATAAAATTGGGACCAATCATACAGATAACGGTAAGTGAGATCGATTTCGATTACGAACAAAAAAAAACAAAAACAACCGAATAATTTTCTTTTCATTCTTTATCCATAGATTGTTGCTCAAATTATGGCCATGTATCTGTTGATAATGCAGCTATTTATTGGAAAATTTCAATCATGATTTTTTTCTCTTAAAAATAATTTCGAATTCAGATTCAAATTCGAATTTAAATTTAACAAAACAATGAATAATCCAATGACAGCACACACCCGAGCCACAACAAAAACCCGCGCAATCTTGCTGCGCTTGCTCAGGAACTCACTTCACAACACTCCCCCGCCGAATTTAAAGAAACAATGCCATTGACCGGTCGAAGTAGCTCTCTGTCATCATCCAGGAATTTCAACTTAGCGGAACGTACCACACCATCCTTGCTCTTGAACACTTCGATTATTCGAGCCAACGGCCAATCAGTTCGTTTGCGATAATCAGCTGGAATGAGAACTAGATTACCAGGTTTGATATCAATAGCTTTCGGAGGATTGCGTTGATTTAAGGAATTCAGATATTGTTGTCTCCACAACTTTTCAAATTTCATGCGAATGGATGATAAATAATCATTCCACTTGTTAGCATTACCAATTTCAACGTTACTTTTGATCAAAGGATTTTGTTTCCGTCCATAAGCAATTTCAAATGGTGATAACCAACGTTCATCATTTTGTTAAATTTACTCAATCTTGATGACTAGACATTATTTTTCCACATTTTGAATTCGATTAGTCATCATCATCATTGGAAAATTATTTTTTTCAAAATTTCTCGAATACAACAAATAAACAAACAAACAAACAATGTGTGGGGAAAAAAATTCCGAATAATCAAAAAAAAAAAAAATAACAATATGAATGCCATCAAATACAATAACAATCACTAATCGTATACTAATTACAGACATTCAATTGAATAAGAATCATCATCATCATCATCATTGACTATATTGAGATCTGTAATCAAAAATCATTCTTGCACACATACACACACACACACACATACAAGCACAAAATCCACAACAAATACAGGTATATAGCATCATATATCTAGGTTAGCAAAAAAAAAAAGTTTTCGAAATTATATAGAAAAAAAAATTTTTTACAAACCAAAATTGTAAACGAATTGGATCATAATATATTTTGAGATCCAAAACAAAACAGAAAAATAGAGCAGAAAGTATGTGTGTGTGTGTGTTTGTAGTGGTAGTGGTGATGGCGGCGGTAATGAATACCGAATTTATGATCATATATGATTGTGTGTAGTGGATTCGGATTTCCGACAACAACAACAACAATAAAAATTAAAATTTGAATGATTATGATTGAGAAATTGTTTGCTGAAAACTGTTGTTCAATGTTTTGATTGTTTTTTTTTTGTTGATTTTTTTTTGTTAAAACTAAAAAAAAACTCACTTTTGTTCTGTCTGTATATGAAAAAAAAAACAAACAAACAAACAAACAAACAAACATTGATCGTTGATCGATGTTTGTCAAAATTGGTCAATCATTTTATCATTCAAAATAGATCAACAACAACAACAGCAGCAGCATACATTTCTTCAATGAAACTAAAAATTGACGTTGAAAAAATGTTTGTCCATCTGTTCTTTTTCTCATTATTTTCTTAACAAAAAAAAAAAAAAATGATAAAATCTTTCAACATTTATCATTTATCATTGATCAATAAATTCAATTTGTGTGACTGTCTGTTAGTCTGTGTGACATCTTGCATCAATTGTTGAATGATCGATTGTGAACACACATCAAGCAATCATCATCATCCATTGATTTGATTTTTATGATTTTCATTTTTGTATTGTTTTTTTTCTCTTGCAAAAGTAATAAGTGAAAGAAATAAGAGACACAGAGAAAAAAAATTTCCAAACAAAATGAAAATTTTGGACAAAATAATATCACGGATATCGATCAAATAAAATTTTTAAAAAAAATCACGAAATCACTTGAACATTTCCATTTTCATTATTAACTTGTTTAGCATAAACAACTTTCCATATTCGGACATTGGTCATACACCTGGATAATCAATAATGAAACCGTAGAGACGGAGAGAGAGGGAGAAAGTCTGTGTGTTGTGTAATACACGTATACGTGTGCTGTGTAACCTTTTCAATGATATTTCCTTGTTTCATTTTCATTTCTTTCAATTCACACACACACACATTTCAATCAAGATTGATTACTAGAATCTCAAATATATTTATGTTTTAATCATCATCATCATCAATATAAGCCCATCATATCGAGTGTGTGCCAAGTGTGAATTGAAAATGTGTTCATGTGCGTGCTGTTTACCACAAATCGTTCATCATCATCGATTGATTTAACATGAAGATACCTGTGTGTGTCTACTAATGCCTGTGTTTATTAGATTTTTTTTCCCCCCATTACAATCATGCAGTGGTGGCGGTGGTAGCGCCTGATGAATGAATGAATGAATGAATGATTGAGTTGATGATTTGAATTGAAATGAGCAAAAAAAAAATGAATGAATGAAAAATGGTGGATTGAAAAAAAATGACGAAAAATTCAAGTTTTTTTTTCTCCGATTTTGTCTTCTGCCATCAATTTTTTTCTTTATCATATTATATGTTGGATAGATGAAAAAACTTTTCATTTTTTTTTTGAATCTCAATTCATTTAACCTGTCATCATCATCATCATCATCATCATCAATAACAACAACGTAGTCGTCAACGTCAGGTACCAGTTTTATATATTCAAGTTTGAAAAGTTTATTTTCATTTTTTTTTCGTCAGAAAAAATTTTCAATTTGGTTACAGGAAACAACAACAACAGCACAAGCAAAGTGGAGCTAAACTGAATATCTGAAATAGAAATCTTGATGATAAAATACAGAAAATATACAAACAGGGAGATAGAGAGAGAGAGATGACGTTGGAATGATTGATCCAACAACAACAACAACAACAACAGCAACAACAGACGAGACAACTTTCAATAGAAAGCGATGAAAACAAGGAAGACGTGTGTGTGAGGTAAGTAAAGAAAATCTGACTAGAAAATGGAAAAAGATTTTTCATTTTTTTTTTGTTGTTGTGTTTGTGGAAAAAAAATAAACAAATATATTTATCCCACATGGACCACTATCCATCATCATCAATTTGATCCACAGCGGCCATAATCCAATATTAATCCGACTTTCTCTCTCTTTTTTTTATCGATTTGTGTATGATCATCATCATCATCATCATTGGCAACAATTTACCGACTTGCGACAATCATCATCATCATTTCTGCCGACGACAACGATAACAACAACAACAACCAACAAATACCGATCACCGACATCATATAATCATCATCATCATCGCATACTCAGACTGAGCAATAACAAAAAAAAGTCATTCATTCCATAAAAATCATCATCAGCATCTATATATGTGTATTAATGATTGAGAAAAAAAAATGACGATAAACAACAAACATTGACAACAGGTTGTTTTGTTTTGTTTTTATCATTAAAATAAATACTAAAATCATCAGCTTCATCATCATAAAAAAAACTACAATTTTTTTTTTGTACGTGTCATGTATTATTAGTGACTTTTCCTATGTTTTTATGTGCGATCCAATGAATGTGGATTCAGAATTGAAAGAAGAAAAAAAAAAAAAAAATGGCATCAACAACAAATGTGCAGAAAGAAATTGATTTACTTACAAATGAATGGAAAACATTACGATTACCGCATAAATTGAAACAATATCGTCAATATGAAAAATGTTTAGAAAGATTGAAATTAATGGCATCATCATCATCATCATCGGCGGAATCAAAAGAATCATTGATTGAACAAATCAATCAACTTTATATTAAACTTGACAAATCAGTCATCTGTGGTGTTGATCAATGTTTTATTTGTGGCAATTGTAATGATGGTGGAAATTGTTCATTAACAACGACAACAACAAAATCAACCATTTATCAAAAGGTGACGATGGATAAACAACATGAAAAACAATTGGATCATCAAATCAATGATCACAATAATAACAGTGTTATTATTTCCGATGATCATGACGTTGATCAATTGAATGATAGTAATCGATTATTACAAACAACACGTGCAAGACTTCGAAGTACATCACCGCCAATAATGGCAACAAATAAAAAAATCCAAATGCCAATGTGATTGAATCGAAAAAATCAACATTAATCAATCAGATTGGAATATCCGATTGTGATAGACAGAATGTTGATGATGTTGTGGATAACAAGAAATGTAATGGAATTGATTCCAAACAAAATTCCAACAACAGTAATGGTGATCAAATCAATGATAATGAATCATCAATAAAAATATTAGATGAAGAATTGCCCGATGATTCATCGCCATCTGTTGGTCGTGATTGTCAATTGTCGAAAAATTTAAACATTGAATCATCATCGTCATCATCAACATTGTCATTGATGATGCCAAGACCATTTCAGAAATTATCACCATCATCATCAAATGATAGCTATAATGGCAGTAGTAGTGGATCAACAACGACAACAATCAATCATTTCCGGTCGTTCACCACCAATTATAAGTAGCTATAAAGCATATAAAGATTTTATCAATAACTATACTACTACAACTACAACTACTACAACAGCCAAATAACCAAAAAAAAAAAAAAAACCACATGGCAACTATAAGTTGAAAAACAAAAATTTTTTTTTCGAAAATTTTTCGTGTGATAAGAAAAAAAACAAAACAAATTTAAAAATTACATAATAATCAAATTACCTGTTAATTGCTTTCTATTTTTTTGTTTGTTTGTTTGTTGTTGTTGTTGTTGCTTATTTATAAAAAAAAAAAAAATTATTCAGATTGTTATCATTATTGATTGATTAAAAAAAATTTTGAATTTTCATTGTCTTTTCGGTTTCATTCAATGATCAAGATGATCAATGATCCGATGATGAACAGTAGTGGATGATTCATGACCAAAAAAAAAATGGCCTTCGAATCATGTCTTGTGTATGTGTGTGTAAATGATTCACACGTGAGTGAATGTGATTCATTATTGCATCAAAATATTTATTGTGTGTAAATGAATAAATAGAAAAAACAAGTAAATCCACAAGTGTTTGAAGAGTTGTTGTTGTTGTTGTTGCTGTTCATTTCGGCATATTACATTCAATTCATTCAAATGAAAAAGTATGAAAAAAAAAAATTAATTTCAAGGATAACCATAATCAAGTTACATTACCTGACTATATATACCTATTATCATTATCTTGGTGATGATTTTTTTTTTTTTTGGTTTTGGTTTTGGTTTCTACGTATTTTTTTCATTCATTCAATCAATTGAACTTTGTATTTTTGGATACCAGACATCATTTAATGAGTATTTAATGGATTAACAAAAAAGCAGCTGCAGTAGACACAGATTAAATTATCAACAATCACCAAATACATACACACACACACACACACACACATACAGACAAATAGCTATCAACGAAAATCTTTTTAAACAAGGCAATTGATAAGACAATCATTGTTGATTGAATGTTTGATATCCGTGTTTGATGTAAATAAAAAAAAAAAATCTGGCACATATCAGATTTTCAATTTATGTTTTGGTTACTACGTATTTTGAATCATCATCTTACAACGTAAAAAAAAATCATCGCCACTGGTAACTGTATATATATATAACATCTTTATGTGGAAATTTCCTGTGTGATTACCGTGTAATACACATACATAAATCAGAGAGATAGAGAGATTGATTTACATTCATTATTTGGGTGTTTTATCATTTATTACTGGAAGCAGAAAGAAACCAAAAAAAAAAAAAAACTTGAAAAACAACGTACGTACTTAATATAACCAATGATGATGATGATAACGACTGATTTTTAATTTTAAAAATTTTGAATTTTCTAAATATAAAAAAATTTCAGCTTTCATTTTAAATCAATCAATCATGCCATTCATTAGTAATAATAATGATAATTCGACGATAAAATCGTCACCAAGAAATTTTCCACAAGGTTCATATCGTTCATATAAAAGTTTTTTAAATCAATATTCCAATAAACAACAACAGCAGCAGCAACAACAAGAACCACAATCACCTAGACGTGTATCGATGCCGATTGAACAATCATCATCATCGAAATCGACAGTGAAAAATAATTTATCGGTAAAAAATAGAATTTTTCAATTTGATCAACAACAGCAGCAGCATCAAGAGCAAAAACGTTCATATTCGGTACCGAATGAGCAGCAACAACAACAACAGCAACAGCAGCAAATGAAAAATATTTTCGATATTGAAAAATTACTATCAATGTCATCGAATGAAATTGAAATGCTTGATAAAGATGTTTTGGAACGTTTTCTTAGGCTACTAATGTCTGAAGAACAGAAATCAACAAATTCATCATTGCCAATCAAAAATGAAATTGATGTGAACAATAATCATCATCATATGGTTGATAACAATAATGATATGAATACGAATAAAACCGATGAAGATATTGATAAATGTAAAATGAATCTGATTCAATCATTGAAACAACAATTAGAACGATATCGACAGAAATGACCAACGTAACTAAGTCAAAATCAGTAATTAAGGATGATTTCAGATCATTCATTCATTTATTCATTCATCCATAGACCAAATAATATGTCACACACACATCCATATTCTGGAACAAACTGAAAAAAGAAAACATAAAATTTTAATATTTATTTACCATTTTGAAAAATAAAGTTACGAGATAATTTTGTTGTTGTTGTTGTTGTTCAAAAACCATCTGGTAATCAGGTGACCAAAAGCCAAATCGAATGGTATTTAAATGGTTTTCAAAAATTCTAGCATCAATTCACGAATTTTAGTTTCACATTCATCATATAAATCTTGATATTCAGAATGTGTTTTAATCAATACCATTAAAGCTGGTCGTCGTACACCAATGGCTGATGATATGTCCGTACGAAATGGTACATAAATGTATGGCAAATCTTTTGATTCACAAATGCCAGGTAAATGGCACATTATTTCGATCGGTGTTACATCGCCAGCAAATACAATAATACCACGTTCACCTTTACGTATACGAAGCTGTACTTCTTTCAATCCAATACGTAGCTGTTCTTTTCTCGATTGTTTACTTGCTTTTCGCATTAATTTGAATAATTTTTTAGCCAATTTTTTTCCAGCCATCGGTTGAGCAATAATCGAAACAAATTTCAATTTCTGATCATACGGTAATTGTATCATGTCACGACGTGTTCGTGGTACAATTTCAACATTTTCTTCATTTTCTTCTTTTTTCACTGACACATCTTCAATAGTATCTTCAAGTTGAATTGATCCATTCATTTTTTTCGATGTTTTCATTTTCTTCGCCGATGGCTGTTGATCAATAGGATTGGTGGAACATTCTTGATCACCATCAACATTATTATTGGCATTGTCCAAACTTCGTTTGTGTCCCATATTTTTTTTGTCGTACTGAAAATGACCATTTTTTCAACACACAAAAATAAAAATTTGCTAAAATAAAATAAAAACAATCTTCAAACTTACGGAAATTTATCAGGAATTTTTATGGATTTAATTTGTTTCTACACAAAATATCAAAACAATCCAGAAACACTGGTTCTGGTTCCAAGATGGATTCAACTCACGCGTTTGATTGAAAGAATTGTTTGTATGAAACGAAAAAAAAGCATGCATGCGCTGCAGCATGCACTATTAACACATCAGAAAGCATACTTATGTTGATTTAGACAAACAAAAATTCAGGGCAACTTAAGGTGAGCGTGTATTGTGTGTGTTGTGTGATGTCTTCAAATGTAATTTTCTTTATTCGATATATATTTAAATTGTAGAAAAATCAATTCATCAATCCAAAATGGCTTCAGGAAAATCATTGATGCAATTATCCAGATGTGCCCTATCAACACAATCGGTGGCTACCAAAATGATTAAACCACCGGTACCAATGTTCGGTATTGGTGGCCGTTATGCTACGGCATTGTATTCAGCTGCATCGAAAAAAAACAAATTAGAACAAGTGGATAAAAATCTAAAAACATTATTGGAACTTCATGAAAAAGATGTTAAATTTCGTGATTTTCTTTTAAATCCATTGATTAAAGTGAGTGTGAAAAAAAATTTTTGTTGTTGTTTTTGCAATTGATGCTAATTCTTTTTTCTATTTTTTTTGTTAGCCTGCTAAAAAAAAGGAAATTCTTGGCAAATCTCTTCAATCCAAATTGAATCTCGATGAAATGACCGTCAATTTGTTGTCAGTGTTGGCCGAAAATAACCGTATGAAATATTTTCCATCAATATCACGTATTTTCAACAAAGCAATGGCCTTTTCACGTGGTGAAATTAATGTCACTGTAACTGCTGCATCACCATTGGATGCTGAATCCAAGAAAGAATTGAATGATATTCTACAAAATTTTGCTAAAGGTTTTTTTTTATTATTTCTCATCTAATCCATTTGGTTCTAATGTTTTTCTCTTCGTTCAGGCAAAAAATTATTGGTCAATGTAAAAGTTGATAAAGACATTCTCGGTGGATTGATGGTCGATTTTGATGGTGAACATTATGTAGATATGTCCATACGACGTAAATTCAATCATTATGTTAATCTATTGAAACAGCCATTGTAATCACATCCAAACTAAGCTAAGCTCAGCTCAGCTCAATTCAACATTGTTGTTGATTCGAGAATTTTCGTTGAAAAAAAAAATTAAATTTAGTGAAACAAAAAAAAATTGTAATAATTGAATTGATAAAAATTGAAAATAAAATTCCTTTTCTCTTAATTCAACAACAACAACAACAATTGAATGGAAATTTATGTAAAAATTCATGAAAAAAAATCATTCGATGTTGATTTTGAATTTTGCAGCCATAAAAATAAAAAGAAAGAAATTATTCAAGTTTGCCGAAACAAAAAAAAATATGGCTAGCGTTTATCTACGACAAGCGATTCGTTCGATGCATACAAGTGTTGGTTCGGGACCAAATTTTGAATTTGCCGCCACATCATGTCAAGGTTGGCGTAATACAATGGAAGATGTACACGTAATTATACCATATTTGGATGGTGATAATACAACGACACAACCACACCAGCAACAACAACAACAACAACAATCATCATTGTTCGCTGTATTCGATGGACATAATGGTGTTGAAGTTTCAACATATGCAGCTAAATATTTACCGGAATATATACGCCGTAATCGTAAATATCAAAATGGTCATATTGTTGATGGTTTAAAAGAGGCATTTATTTTGTTGGATAATTCAATGTTATTACGTGAATCGGTAAATGAATTACGTGAAATTCGACGAATGATGCATCCAAATATACCGGAATATACGCCTGGATTTACTAGTGGATCAACAGCAGTGGTTTGTCTGTTAAAGAATAATACATTTTATTGTGCAAATATTGGCGATTCAAGATGTGTTTTATCCAGGAATGGTCGTCCAGTTCCATTATCTGTGGATACAAAACCAGATGATCCACAAGAAATGACAAGAATTGAACATGCTGGTGGTACTGTTATGCGTGGCCGTATCAATATGCAAATCAATGTATCACGTGCATTCGGTGATCATATGTATAAATGTAATCCAGATCTACAATTGACTGAACAAATGATTATTGCATTACCAGATGTTATTGTTGAACCATATAATGAAAAAACTGATCAATTTATGGTATTGATGTGTGATGGTATATGGAATTCAATGACAAATGATGAAATTATACAATATATTGGTCGTCGTATACGTACAGATCGTTTAAGTCAAATAACTGAAGATATTATTAGAAAAATATTACCAGAAGAGATGCCTGAACGTGGTATACAAGGCAAAGATAATATGACCATTGTGATTATTAAATTCATTAATCAAGCAACCACCGCCACCAATCCTATGATGATGATTGGTCAATCAACAACAATCACCACCAATGTACCGGTGCAGCAACAAAATCCAACAACAATGTCACAAAAGCATAGTAAAACAAATAGTGATCGAAAATTGAAAGCAAAATTTCAGCCACAACAGTAACAATAATCGCCATCACATCACCACAGCAAATCCTGCAAACACAAATGAATATGATGAGAGAGAAATTTTTTTTTGTTTTGTTTTTTATTCATCAAAAAAAAATACATATAAAACACAGAATCATTAAAAAAAATTTGGTCAAAAATAGAGACAAAGGGGACAATTAGAAATTTTTTTTTAAACATTTAAAACACAAGACAATTCTGGGCAGGGTATAACAGAATTTTTTTTTTTTGAAAAAATAACGAAAAAATCATCCAACAAGCGTACTTGCGGGTACTAGGTTGGTGTTCAATTTTTTTTGTTTCGTTTCTAAATCTTGTCATTACAAATTATTTCTTGATATCTTTTCAATGAAATTTCATGAAATTTAAGCCATTGTATGATATGTTTGTTTACTGTGCGGGTATTTTCATCGATCCGGAAACAACAACAACAAAAAAAAAACAATGATGGACACACAGACACAGAGACAGTGGAAAAAAAAGAAAATTGAATTGAACAAAACAAAACAAACAAAAAAAGATTAGAAAAAATTGAATGATACAAACACATGAGAGACACTGATTGTGTGTGTGTGTGTGTATGTGTGATTTTACTTACATTTTTCTTTATTAGCCATTTCTTTATCAGTTTTATAGCCCATCATACGTATGGCAGCATATACTTTTAAATGTACAAAATTCTCTGCAGTATATCCGGCAAAATCTTTTTCAGCATGATCAAGCCATTTTTTTGCATCATCATCATGATTATTTTGTTCAATTTCAATTAGGCCCATTTCTAATGTTGCCATCGGTACAATTGATGTTTCCAATTCGATACGATCTCGACTTTGGTTTTGTTGTTGTTGTTGTTGTCCATTCATTCATTCATTCATTGTTTGTTTGTTTGTTTGATTTGATGATGATAAAAATGAAAAAAAAAAAAAGGAAGGAAGAGGAACAACGAGAAAAAAAAAAAAAAAAATCAATTTTCAGTTTCTCAAAAAAAAAAAAATGAAAAAAAACCTCAGAATATAAGTAAAAAAAACTGTCAGTTTTATGTTTGTTTGAAAACCGACAGAAAAGAAAAGGAAATAAAACCACTGACCACCACCATCAGACTATTCAATGGAATTTTTTTTTTGAAAAAAAAACAGAATTGGACAGTGATTTTTATCCATTTTCTTTCTGTTTTTTTTAAAATTGTAATTTCGTTGAATTGAAAACGAAATGAAATTGAAATTGAATCTTAAAACCACTGTATGTTTTTTTTCCATTTTCAAAAAAAAAAAAATATCCAATGCTATCGTTATTGTGAAAGATTTTTCATTTCCCCATGACCAAAATATATACATATAAATATAATGCAATTGTTGGGAAAGTGAAATAAAAAAAAAGCCGGTCATGCAAAAAACAAGAAAAGCCCACACACAAAAAAATGTTTTTTATGCATTTTTTTGTTGTGTGTGTGTGGATTTAACGTTGAAAAGTCTACTTTGAAGGGGACATACAAACACTGTGTATGATGATGAATGTATGGGTCAATTTTTCTTATTCTTCTTCTTCTTCTGTTTTGTTTGGCGCTGAAATATCAAAAGTTACATTTTCATGTGTTCGTTGTGTCCGTTTGTGTGTGTGTGTGTGTGTGTGTGTGAATATAAATGAAATGAAATGAAAAGAGAATATAGGGGATGATGATGATGATAATGATGAATTTGGAATTTGAAATGAACCCAAACTAAACTAAACTAAACTGGGTCTATTTTTGGATTTGACTCAATTCAATATGAATGAGTAAGAGAAAGGAAGAAAGAGAGAGAAAAGGAGAAAATGAAAACAAATCATCCGGCATTAACCATTTGTGGAAATACTATCTCCACAACGTTTGAACTTTGATGGACCACCACCACCACCACCACCACTACTGTTGTTGCCCATTCATCAATATAAATGTTATTATTATTCATGAAACAACAACAACAACAACAGAATCAGCCCTATTTTGCAATGATGATGTTTTGATGGATCATCATCATCATCATTCTGGATGGATGGATGGATGATGATGATGATGATCCAACCAAACAAAACGAAACGAAAAAAAACAAGAATCATCATCATCAGATGTGAATGAAAGAAACAATCTCCCTCATTGGGTGATCCATCAAAAAAAAAACGAAATTTTTTTTTTGGTTCATGATTCATTCGTGGATAGTGGTGGTGGGGGTGGTGGTGGTAGTAGTGATGGTGTAGTTGTTATTGTAAAACATCATCATGTTATATTACTGATAACATGGAAAAAAACAGGAATGAAAATGAAATGAGAAAAAATAAACATCAGTATACAGTATATGTGAATGGGCAGAATGAGGGTTATAAATACTCAGATTCTGAATGAATGAATTGTGTAAATTTATATGGCCAAATGAAATATGAATTGAGAAACTTGAATTATAAAAAAAATGAAATGAAATACATACGAATCAAGAATAAATTGTAGATTTTTTTTGCTTCCTCATAACGTTGTTGTCGTCGTAATAATACACATTTATAGAATAATGCCGTCAGATAATTATCAAGATAATGAGAATTTTCTAAAATTCAGGTGATAAAAGAAAAAAGAGGAGAGTGAGAGAATTAAAAATTGTAAAAAATGAATGAATGAAACAACAACAACAACAAATATTCCGTGTTTGTTATATTTTCATATAAATTGTGTACATAATTTATATGACTTTATGTTTTGTGTTGATTCTTACCAATATCTGGTTCATAAAGTTTTACTTCACGTTCACAACGATCCATCAGTTTGGCCAGTTGATTGTGATCACGAACAAACATTAGATAGTTACCAGAATAAAGCATTGCCTATAGATGTTGTTTTTCGTTGTTTCGTCGTTGTTATTGTCAGCATATAATACAATCATAATAATGGTTGAAATAATATCGAAACATTGTTGTTTGTTTGGGTTGGTTGTTTGTTTGTGTTTGTGCGTTTTCCAAAAAAAAAAAAAATTTATATTCGCCATCCATTGATGATGCATTTTTTATGGCATTCATGTGGAACAACAACAACAACAAAAATGATTAATAACCATTTATCATCAATATCAACCGAGCAACCGATCGAACAAATATCACGGGAAAAACAACAACAACAACAACAACAACAACTAGCAGAAAAAAAACATTAAAAAGAATAACATTCTGTTTCAGTATTTTTTCGTTTTCGTTTGCCTATGCATTTTATTTGATTGAATTTATCGATGAAAATTTTGTTTTTTTGTTGTTGTTGGAATTTTTGTTTTTAACGCATTCAATTCGATTTGATCGGTTGCCAGGTTGATTGAAAAACAAAAATACTTACAATAACGGGTAATACGAGACATTTTCCTTTTTTAAAATATAATGCTGCATTCGCTAATGCTGCTTTTTCTGTGGTCATTGTTTTACCAAAATGTCGTATACGAAGACTTGGTAAACGTCTTTTTTTTTGAATGAATCAAAATCAAATAACGGCACAGGTGATGAAGAAGCAATGGAAAGGAAAAGAAAGAAAGAAAAATTCAAATTTTTAAAAATAAATTTCCAGAAAAAAAATCGAATGAAACATACACACACACATAGACACGCAAGAATATAGCGAATATGAATAGCCCAAGGCAAAACTACATGTAATTCTGTTTACTGAATTTCATTTTTACCAGTGTTGTAATCATTATTATTCAAAAAAAAAAAACAAAAAAAAACTCACAACAAGAGAAAATGACATTGTTATGTGTGTGACAAGTTTAAAATTTTTCTCCAGTTAAATAAACACAATGACAACAACAATCATCATCATGAGCTGAAAATTTTTTTCACATCATCATCATTATGTTCATTTGTCCTATTTTACAACTGGGAAACTAGAAAAAAAAAGTTTTCAAGAAAAATTTTTCTCAAAAAAAGTTTATTTCTAAAAAAAAAATCGCTGAACTTGATCATTACTATAGCAAGTCAGTGTTGAAATTTTTTTTGAAGAAAAAAAATGAACCCAACTAAGGATCGACTTTTTTTTCGTTTTAGTGTGAAAAATGAGCAAAAAAAGAAGAAAATTCTACACCGCTTGTTAATTGAGCAACAGAATATGAGCCAAAAAATAAAAATATAAAATGAAAAAAAAACTTACTCAAATTCTTCGGATGCCTGATCCAATAGCTGTTGATTTTTATCATCCACACCTTTTACATAACGAAAAACGGCATTCAAAAATGCCATACAAACCGGTGAATGTTTACTTTCACGTATTTTATCCGCACACAATATACAATTGTTCCAATCCAATTTGATGGCATAACACCATATTAATTCAAAATAGAATGCTTTATATGCAATGGCTAGATTTGGTGCCCTTACCAAACCTTGTAATATTTCTATGGCTCGATCAAATTCACCGTTGATCTGTTCAATTTTTGCTTTAGCTAATCCATATAACATGCTCTATATTATAAAGCGAAAGAAAAACAAAATCAATTAATCAATACAGAGAAAAAAAACAAGCAAAAAAATAAAAATGAAAATGAAAAAAAAAAATCCAATCATCGTCATCATTTAGAAATCAAATCACATAACAACATCATCATGATCACATTTTGTCATGTAAATTCTGAATTATTATATTACGTTATTTGTGGAAATAAATCTTTTGGCACACACACACACACACACACAAAAAAACTTTGAAACCAAAAGAAACTAAATGAGACAAAGAAAGTGAGAAAAAGATAGCAAAGTAAAGTAATCACAAAAGAAATGAATGAATGGAATGGAATGGAATGAAATGTGTGAAAAGGAAACGAAACAAAGAAGAAAAAGTTTTTTTTTCTCTCTCTCTTTTTCTGGTTAAACAGAATAATGTGATGATGATGTGATATATATGGAATTATGACAAAAATGAGAAAATCAAATTTTGATCCAAAACTAAAACTAAAACTAGGTGCTAGTGAAGAGACGGTGAAAGAATACAAAAGATTCTTGAACTAAAACTTGCTGATGATGATCATCT